GTTCCACCACTCTTCTCCTGATAATCTTCTCCATGATTTTGCATACTATACATGTCAGTGACACTGGTCTGTAGTTTAATGCTTCATGTCTGTCCCCTTTTTTAAAGATTGGGACTACATTTGCTGTCTTCCATGCCTCAGGCAATCTCCCTGTTTCGATAGATGTATTGAATATTGTTGTTAGGGGTACACATAGCGCCTCTGCTCCCTCTCTCAATACCCATGGGGAGATGTTATCTGGCCCCATTGCCTTTGAGGTATCTAGCTCACTCAGAAGCCTCTTCACTTCTTCCTCGGTTGTGTGCACTGTGTCCAGCACTTGGTGGTGTGCCCCACCTCTCCGTCTTTCTGGAGTCCCTTCTGTCTCCTCTGTGAACACTTCTTTGAATCTCTTGTTGAGTTCTTCACATACTTCACGGTCATTTCTTGTTGTGTGTGTGTGTGTGTGTGTGTGTGTTTTGTGTGTGTGTGTGTGTGTGTGTGTGTGTGTGTGTCTTTCTGCCTGCCTTTGTGTATTACTTACCAGTCCTGCTTGTTATGCATTATATTATCTACAAGCACAGTATAGCACTTTGTCTAGATTGTTTGGGTTATCCTAGGAAATTTACACTATGTATAATTGTATTTACGTATGTGTACCTTTGAGATAAAGACAGAGACAGAGAGAGAGATAGACAGAGATAGATACAGACAGACAGATGGAGACAGAGACAGCCAGTGAGCCAACCGGTCAGCCAGCCGGTCAGCCAGCCGGTCAGCCAGCAGGCCAGCCAGCCTGCCGAACACGTACTACACGTTCCAGAATTGTTTCTTTTTACTAAGGGCCTAAGTTATAGGACATTCTGGCAGAATGATACTACCAGTGGTACCAAAATTGAAAGGATGTTGCACAAATGTTGCACATGAATTATTATTGAGGTTTTTGATATTTCTGTGACCACTTGTGACCACATCCACCTCAAAACCACTAAACTCGGGGTCAAAATCACTTTCCTTTTAAAATGGGAGGGTTAATACTACATGATGTTAGTGAATCCTTGGTGTTTGCCGCACTGTTTGCTCTAGCTGGCACTCAATTGAACTGGTGCTCCCACAAGGTACTAAGTGGTCCCAGATTTTTTTAATACTGTGCACACCAAGTGTTAAGGCCCATTCTATGCTGACTGGGCATCTGAGGCCAATTTTGCCAAATTTGGAGGCAGGAAAGATAAAATGTAGATCTACGTTTGGAGCGCTAGCGGTAAGAGCGTAGATCTACGTTTGGACAGTTAAGGGGGTTAAAAATAGACCCCACATTGCATTCTGTAGCTGCATTCCTGATGTTAGTTTGTTTTATAGTTATCACTCATACTCAGTTAATTAAAGAATCATTGACATAAATAATAAATGAAACTGTAGGGGACAGTGCCACAGAGGTACACTTCATAGTTTTGTTCTCATTGACAATATTCTAAATACAATATCATGCTTGACACTCATCACAGTTATAAGTTTGAGCCCTGTTTGTCAAATGAGAGACCCTGCTCTGCATTAAATCTTAATGTAGGCAAGTCTTGTTTTAACATTGTAGGTTGCTTGCTTCCAATAAAGACTCTTTGAAAGAGGTCATGGCTCAAAGTTAAATATATTTTGACTGAAAAATATGTAGATATTTTGTCACACAACAAATTGTACCATACTGTACCCTGTAATATTACATTACTGTATATTTAATACTCATCAAATAATGCATATCAAGGCTTTATGGGGAAATGTAGTAGACCTTATTACTTTTTAAGGAGACAAGTGATCTTGTTAAAGCTTTTTTGCATTAATATCAGGGGATGGAATAATATATTGTCTGGAGTTCAGCAACTCAACTTATAATTGAGGTTTGCCTTTAATCGACTTTAACAGAGCCCAAAGACTTCTCTGATAGATTTCAATTTGGTTTACAATGTACAGTGGACCCCCGGTTAACGATATTTTTTCACTCCAGAAGTATGTTCAGGTGCCAGTACTGACCGAATTTGTTCCCATAAGGAATATTGTGAAGTAGATTAGTTCATTTCAGACCCCCAAACATACACGTACAAACGCACTTACATAAATACACTTAAATAATTGGTCGCATTCGGAGGTGATCGTTATGCGGGGGTCCACTGTATTTCTTGGTGTTGGTTGCCACACGTCTCCCAGACCTCTGTGTCTGTTGCACGACTTCCACATGACTCCTTCACTCGTCTCTCTTCAAGACAGCCCACACAAGACTCCAGTTTGTAACTTCTCTCTTGTGAGTAACCTGCTCTAGGCAGAATACTTCCACCTTCCTGACTTCTTAGAGATGGTGGGTGCTTAGTCACATTATTTGTATTTTTTTTGTTTAACCCTTTCAAGGTCCGTGCCGTAGATCTACGGCTTTACATTGAGGGTCCAAACAGTAGATCTACTCCAAAATTCTAGCGGCGTCAAATTTAGCGCGAGAAGGCTGGTAGGCCTACATCTGAGAGAATGGGTCTGGGTGGTCAGTGTGCACACTATAGAAAAAATCTGGATGCCCACATGGCTGGTAGGCCTACATCTGAGAGAATGGGTCTGGGTGGTCAGTGTGCACACTATAGAAAAAATCTGGACGCCTGCATGGCATTGTGGGAACACCGCCAAAGTAGCTTTGTTCATCGTGCCTAGCAGCAAGGAAGCTCTCACTCCCCACTCACTCTCTGGGCGAATTCTGACTCTCCTCTTCACAACTTACAGTTCTAAGACTGATGGAAGTGGAGCTGAAGAGGAATTCTATGGTTTTGAACCATATGGTACCATTGTACCATATGGTACAATGGTACCATATGGTACCATGGTATCATATGGTACAATGGTACAATGTGCCATATGGTACATTGTACCATATGGTACATTATACTATATGGTACCATTACACCCTGTGGCACCATTGTACCATATGGTACTACATGGTACCGTTGTATTCAACACAATAACCGCACTAATATTTTCATCATTTTGTTTACAATAAACTTGTAATCGAGTTTTGTAAGCAATATAATGATAAACAAATGAGTGCAGTTATTGTGTTGAATACAATGAGTGTACACTTATACAATATACATTATATTGGTCTCAGGCCACAAATGTTACTGGAAAAAAAGAAAAAAGTATAAAAAATGTAAAATTAAAAAATGCGATTTTGCGGAAGTCACTGATGTTCCCGCCACCCGGTCATTTTGGGTCAACTTCCCGCCACTGTATCTCGGTAAGTACTGATCAGAAAATTTTTTTGTTTTGTTTTATTACCTTCACAAAAATATTATCTTTAATTCTGCAAGATTTTTTTTTTTTTTTTTTTTTTTTTTTTTTTTTTTTTTTTTTTTTTTTTTTTTTTTTTTTAATTTCTTGGACACTGGGGCACCCCTTCAGATTTTGGCCTTGGACCCTGAAAGGGTTAAGCACTTCAGCACATGCATTTTAATATGAGTTTAATTTGATTTTTATTCTGAATTCATAATTCTTTTATTGAAGTTAGTTGATGTCAGAAACTTATTGGATGGGTAGTTTGGTACTGACAATGTAATTCTCTCACTCTTCCTTTACGCTCAGTTAATTTAAAGAGCACCCATCCCCCCGTTATTTTTGTATTTTGTATACTGTACTGTATGTTAACTAGACTTGAGTTCTGGAGATGGGATGTGCAGTGCCTGCACTTTGGAGAGTTATTTCAATTGTGACGACAATGCTCTTTTGGTAAGACAGCTAGAGAATGAGTGATAGTGAATGCTTTTTCTTTTTTTGGGTCACCCCTTACTTGGTGGGAAATAGCTGTGTTAAAAAACTAACCACAGTACTACCAAAAGCAGTGGTATATTTTTTATACTCGTATATTTCGCGCTGTCTTAAGAATTAAGCATCATGCCTTTATTATGAAAGAGTTTGATCTGGCCTCATAAGATTTTTTAATTAACTTCATTAGATACACAAATACCTTTTGCCTGACACTTGAATACTTTCAGCATGTACTTGAGTTCTCTTACACAGGACTTTAGTGTTTTCTTAAATGGAATGTGACATTACAGAGGGACTGGAGTTTTCTAGCACATTTTTTATTTGGATGTGATCCACAGCAGCCAGCTAACATACAGGCACCAGTACTTAGTTTAAGTGCTAGGTGGGCAGGATAATCTAAAAGCATAAAGAAACCAGCCCATATGTTTATGTTCCAGTGAAATGAACCCTGAACGTTGTGATGGTGGCTAGTCAACAAAGGGGGGTGTGCTGGGTTAATGTCTTTTGTGCTGTTTACAGTTAATGATTTTTTTTTAAACTTCACGTATTGAAGTGGGATGCTGAGATATTGTGGGCCACTTATTATTTATTTTACTCATTGAATCTGGTCTAAATTGATCATATTCAGGTTGTAATAACACACAAGCGAATTCTCAAGAATTTATTTAAAAATGCTATTCCATCATAGTGGAGTTTTGTTCATACAGTTAAGGTGAGCAAATTTGAGACTTGTTGGTTTGATTAGATCAGATCTTAAACAATCAAAATCATTATTTCATTCGTAGCATCCATTTATTTTAAGTACTACACTTCATAATACACATTATGTGCTCAACAGTTTATGGTGGCAGTAGGAGACTCCGTCAACATTGAAAGGCAAGGGTTGGGACGCTAGAGGAAAAGTGGGGTTAGAAGGTGGAGGAGGAGAGGGAGGGGGGTTAGAAGGTAGGGGAGGAGAGGGAGGGGGGTTAGAAGGTAGAGGAGGAGAGGGAGGGGGGTTAGAAGGTGGAGGAGGAGAGGGAGGGGGGTTAGAAGGTGGAGGAGGAGAGAGAGGGAGAGTAAGAGAGGAAAAAGTAAGGCATTAGTTATTTAAGACTTTCACACACAAATTTGTTTTGCCAGGTACATACACTGGGATAGAGGATCAGAACACCTCTCAACTGCTCTAATGCGATCAAACCAAATTTAGTTTACTAATACATCCTGTTCTTTTCCTTGTTCTATAGGCTTTTGAGCAGTGATAGTATATCAGAAGGTCCTCCACCTAGCATTCATCAACTACTACAGCAACATCTAACTCCTGGGGCCAACCAGGGAACACTGCAGCATCAAACAACCTCATCCGCAAATCTAGTTTCCTGCCACCACACTGCCCTCTCATCCGTCCATTCATCAAGCACAGATGTCACACATGAACCTGTTTCTATCTCCCCTCAAAATATGTCTTACGAAGACAGCAGGTAGGGATGTTAATCTAGGTCACTAAGATGTGTAGAGTTAGATCTGTATATTATGCTCATTTAAATGCACTTACCAGTAATACTGCTTTGCCTTTAAATTGTCCCACTTACATTCAAAACAGGTTAAGGCATCATGTGTTAGAGGCCATTGTTCACACTATAGAGCTAGTTAGTATGTAGGTATGCCAAATATCTGCTGCTACTATATAATGAAATTCTATGAAATGTAGTTTACTTACGTTAGTTGAATTTACACGAATAGAATAATCATCTGCTTGTTTCCTAAACACATTGGGACCAGAGTTGAGAAGAAGAACTGGAAAATTCTGATGCTATGTTCAGGCCCAGTCCCCTCTTACCTCAAAAAAAAAAAAAAAAACTACCCCCTTTTTAGATACAGTAGTAAATAGGCATAATTATTCCCCCATATATATAGAAGAAGCAAGAAATGGGTTTCATTAAGGCGGTCTTCTATTATTACTGAATTTTGTATCATCTCATCATGACAGGAGCACTATTACATCTGCCCCATACTAAGTATATAGATATTAATCATCTTAATAAGCACTTTGGCGCCAAGGATGGATGAAGCTGCGTTCTGCCTAGATAAGTTTATAAAGTAAATGCCATGAAGAAATGGTTTAATAATCAAAATATTTATTTGGATGGAGGGAGGAAGCGATGAAGGGATGGAGATAGAAAGGGAAGGGGGGAGAGGGACAGAAGAGGGAGAGAGAAATAGATGTTGCCATACTATTCACATACATCCTGTTGACAAAACACAAATTAAATAATTTCTGCCACCACATTAGACTATATTTGGTTAACTCCTGTTTATACATTGCAGTATAAATTTAATCAATCCCCAGATAAAGAGAAGAAGCAAAGATAGATTTTGACAATTTTTCCCAAAAACCTTATTATGATTAATTTTATAGGAAGTAAATGTATTTTTAGGTTACTGCAACAAATGCTTTAAAGTGTATGGCCTAATAATAAAATTATTCATCTAAATCAAAAGGAATGGGGAGTAAGGAAGAGAGAGAGAGACAAAGGGAAAAATAAAGGGACTTATCATCCACTGTAGCTGCTACTCAAACTAAATGAAACCTTCTATGATTGCTGCTGCTGCTGCTGATACCATGCCAGATTTGAATACCAGCCATTTAGTATTTAATTTATTTTTCTTGCTGTATTCAAGTTTTAGTGCTGTTTGAAGCATCTACACTTGAATAAAAAGAATTTGATAGCAGTTTGTCTGTTCGTATTACATACAGTTTTCCAGCCAGGCTTTAGGGGATTTTATTTAACTGATATTTTTTTTTTTTAAATTCATTGTCTGGTTGAATTGGCTCATGACATTATATCCCCTAACATTCATTTTAGTCCTGGCTTTGTTTCTAAAAATGCTTTCCTTGCCAAGTTTTTTTTTTTTTTTTTTACAACAAGTCGGCCGTCTCCCACCGAGGCAGAGTGACCCAAAAAAGAAAGAAAATCCCCAAAAAGAAAATACTTTCATCATTATTCAACACTTTCACCACACTCACACATTATCACTGTTTTTGCAGAGGTGCTCAGAATACAACAGTTTAGAAGCATACACATATAAAGATACACAACATATCCCTCCAAACTGCCAATATCCCAAACCCCTCCTTTAAAGTGCAGGCATTGTACTTCCCATTTCCAGGACTCAAGTCCGACTATATGAAAATAACCGGTTTCCCTGAATCCCTTCACTAAATATTACCCTGCTCACACTCCAACAGATCGTCAGGTCCCAAGTACCATTCGTCTCCATTCACTCCTATCTAACATGCTCATGCACGCTTGCTGGAAGTCCAAGCCCCTTGCCTACAAAACCTCCTTTACCCCCTCTCTCCAACCCTTTTGAGGACGACCCCTACCTCGCCTTCCTTCCCCTATAGATTTATATGCTTTCCATGTCATTCTACTTTGATCCATTCTCTCTAAATGACCAAACCACCTCAACAACCCCTCTTCTGCCCTCTGACTAATACTTTTATTAACTCCACACCTTTTCCTAATTTCCACACTCCGAATTTTCTGAATAATATTTACACCACACATTGCCCTTAGACAGGACATCTCCACTGCCTCCAACCATCTCCTCGCTGCTGCATTTACCACCCAAGCTTCACACCCATATAAGAGTGTTGGTACTACTATACTTTCATACATTCCCTTCTTTGCCTCCATAGATAAAGTTTTTTGACTCCACATATACCTCAACACACCACTCACCTTTTTTCCCTCATCAGTTCTATGATTAACCTCATCCTTCATCAATCCATCCGCCGACACGTCAACTCCCAAGTATCTGAAAACATTCACTTCTTCCATACTCCTCCTCCCCAATTTGATATCCAATTTTTCTTTATCTAAATCATTTGATACCCTCATCACCTTACTCTTTTCTATGTTCACTTTTAACTTTACACACATTCCCAAACTCATCCACTAACCTTTGCAATTTTTCTTTAGAATCTCCCATAAGCACAGTATCATCAGCAAAAAGTAACTTGTGTCAATTCCCATTTTGAATTTGATCCCCCAAAATTTAATCCCACCCCTCTCCTGAACACCCTAGCATTTACTTCCTTTACAACCCCATCTATAAATACAGTGGACCCCCGCATAACGATTACCTCCAAATGTGACCAATTATGTAAGTGTATTTAAGTAAGTGCATTTGTACGTGTATGTTTCGGGGTCTGAAATAGACTAATCTACTTCACAATATTCCTTATGGGAACAAATTCGGTCAGTACTGGCACCTGAACATACTTCTGGAGTGAAAAAATATCGTTAACCGGGGGTCCACTGTATATTAAAACAACCATGGTGACATTACACATCCCTGTCTAAGACCTACTTTTACCGGGAAGTAGTCTCCCTCTCTTCTACACACCCTAACCTGAGCCTCACTATCCTCATAAAAACTCTTTACAGCATTTGATAACTTACCACCTATTCCATATACTTGCAACATCTGCCACATTGCTCCTCTATCCACTGTATCATATGCCTTTTCTAAATCCATAAATGCAATAAAAATTTCCCTACCTTTATCTAAATACTGTTCACATATATGAAGAAGAAAATTGTCAAAGTTGGAAGTCTGAATGTGCGTGGATGTTGTGCAAATGATAAGAAAGAGATGATTGTGGATGTTATGAATGAGAAGAAGCTGGATGTCCTGGCTTTAAGTGAAACGAAGCTGAAGGGGGTGGGAGAGTTTCAATGGAGAGGAATAAATAGGATTAGGTCAGGGGTTTCAAATAGAGTTACAGCTAAAGAAGGAGTAGCAATAATGTTGAAGGATAAACTATGGCAGGAAAAGAGGGACTATAAATGTATTAATTCAAGGATTATGTGGAGTAAAATAAAGATTGGATGTGAAAAGTGGGTTATAGTAAGTGTGTATGCACCTGGAGGAGAGAGAGAGATTTTGGGAAATGTTGAGTGAATGCGTGGGGAGTTTTGAATCAAGTGTGAGAGTAATGGTGGTTGGGGATTTCAGTGCTAAAGTGGGTAAAAATGTTATGGTTGGAGTAGTAGGTAAATTTGGGGTGCCAGGGGTAAATGTAAATGGGGAGCCTTTAATTGAGCTATGTGTAGAAAGAGATTTGGTAATAAGTAATACATATTTTATGAAAAAGAGGATAAATAAATATACAAGGTATGATGTAGCACGTAATGAAAGTAGTTTGTTAGATTATGTATTGGTGGATAAAAGGTTGATGGGTAGGCTCCAGGATGTACATGTTTATAGAGGGGCAACTGATATATTGGATCATTATTTAGTTGTAGCTACAGTTAGAGTAAGAGGTAGATGGGAAAAGAGGAAGGTGGCAACAACAAGTAAGAGGGAGGTGAAAGTGTATAAACTAAGGGAGGAGGAAGTTCGGGGGAGATACAGTGGACCCCGGTTAACGATATTTTTTCACTCCAGAAGTATGTTCAGGTGCCAGTACTATCCGAATTTGTTCCCATAAGGAATATTGTCAAGTAGATTAGTCCATTTCAGACCCCCAAACATTCATGTACAAATGCACTTACATAAATACACTTACATAATTGGTCGCATTCGGAGGTGATCGTTATGTGGGGGTCCACTGTATAAGCGACTGTTGGCAGAAAGGTGGGCTAGTGCAAAGATGAGTAGTGTGGGGGTTGAAGAGGGTTGGAATAGTTTTAAAAATGCAGTATTAGAAATGTGGGGCAGAAGTTTGTGGCTATAGGAGGGTGGGGGCAGGTGGAAAGAGGAGTGATTGGTGGAATGATGAAATAAAGGGTGTGATAAAAGAGAAAAAGGTAGCTTATGAGAGGTTTTTACAGAGCAGAAGTGTTATAAGAAAAGCATAGTATATGGAGAGTAAAAGAAAGGTGAAGAGAGAGGTGAGAGAGTGCAAAAGGAGAGCAGATGATAGAGTGGGAGAGGCACTGTCAAGAAATTTTAATGAAAATAAGAAAAAATTTTGGAGTGAGTTAAACAAGTTAAGAAAGCCTAGGGAAAGTATGGATTTGTCATTTAAAAATAGAGTAGGGGAGTTAGTAGATGGGGAGAGGGAGGTATTAGGTAGATGGCGAGAATATTTTGAGGAACTTTTAAATGTTGAGGAAGGAGGAAGAAAGGGAGGTGGTAATTTCATGCACTGGTCAGGGAGGTATACCATCTTTTAGGAGTGAAGAAGAGCAGAATGTAAGTGTGGGGGGGTACGTGAGGCATTACGTAGAATGAAAGGGGTAAAAGCAGCTGGAACTGAGGGGATCATGACAGAAATGTTAAAAGCAGGGGGGGGGGGATATAGTGTTGGAGTGGTTTGTACTTTTGTTTAATAAATAGGGATTGGCGGAGAGCATGTATAGTCCCTTTATATAAAGGGAAAGGGGACAAAAGAGATTGTAAAAATTATAGAGGAATAAGTTTATTCAGTATACCAGGAAAAGTGTATGGTAGGGTATAATTGAAAGAA